CAACGAATGTTTTAGTGTCGAAGAGTCCATTTCGTATTCTGCAGATTGAATGAGGCGTGAGATGTTTCCCGTTTCATTTGTAAATCTGTGCAAATCTGTCAAGAAATTATTAAGTAATATTTTTGGTTCCCGTTTCTATTAAGTGGGTATTATATAGAACTTACCCAGCACTTGCAATCGGCGTAGTTTTCTTTCAACTTATTGTGAATATCGTTTTTAATTATAAAAATTTTTCTTGGAAATTGAAATAAATTTCCCCAGCTACTTCAAGGATCGGCACTTTGAGCGAAGATTTAACGGGGAAAATACCATCACAATTCATTCACCCGCCCCACCGAGTTGCTGAGGTCAAATAAGTCCTCCCGGCCTGAACTCTTCTCATATTTACATCTCATTTGGGATGGGAATGTCGACGCGGGCAACAGTTGTCACTATATTATGCTGATCCCGAGACCATTGAACGCGGGTTCATTGTGAGCTGGTGATCACAATTGCTCCGATGTTTCCCATCGTCGTGATTAGCGCTGCAGAAATCTGGTGACGAAATTCACACCATGGATAGCTGCACTGCTACATGGTGTGAATTGCTTCAGCCTCACATGTTTGCCACGTGTCAGATATTCCCCCTGATCTCATGCAAACTGTTTTACAATTCACTCCATGGATTTAAACTTAGAATTCGGAATTGTTGTAAAAATCCTCGTCAGTAACTAATTTCGTTGCGTTTATTTCGAAGAAGTGACATATCTTGATAACTGATTTCTGTGCAATTTTTACTTCTTATTCCACTGTTTAGATCGTTCTGATCCTTATGTTGGTTTAAGTTCCAGTAGTGGACTTTGATATGTTTACTAAAATCTATTTATCTTTTCTTTGCAGGTATGTACGATGCTGAGCGCTGACGATAAATACGCAAGTACATGGTATAATTTATCTAAGAACTATCCAATCAAAACACTACTACAGAAATAAAAATATTATACAGATGATGCTTATATATGTATGTATGGATCTATTCTAGTTATATATACATAGTCCGCCTAAGCTCATGGTCACGCACCTCTCCCGAAGTATTGGCAACCTGCAAGTTCCGCACACTTGTTTACTTCTCTCTCTGATACAGTTTGTTTTGTGGGGTGACACTCGCTTCTAGCAAATCATTTCTTCGCATGTTAACTGATGCCGTCGAACCGTTGCCTCATCAGGTTTCATGTTTTGTATCAAATCTTTATAGCTCACGGAGACATTCTGTAACCGCTATGTTAGAATATTACTCCTGTTGTCGAGAGTAATTGTAGCGTTTCCTCTATCGATGTGGTGGTGAGTGTGATTCCTGTTAACACTAACTGTACAAAGCAATACACTCACCTGTTCGCCACGACTCCGGTCGGCCTTGCTTTGTGGTGTGGTTCGTGCGTTCGTCGCTTCCTGCAGCCATCCAGTTGGTGACGTCACACTCACATTTCGGGAAGACATTTTGCCTGCTCAGTCAATTTAGGAAACTCGTCTGTGGAATCCTGCTGCTTGTAATGACCACAAATCTCTGTTGCATTGAACATTTTGAAGTTAGTTGTTTGTAACTTTAGCTATTTATTTTTCAACTGAACTATTTAGTTTCGTTTGAATATTGGTGTGATAAATTTTCGTACGACTGTTTTGCAGGAACTTTTATTTCGTTAATCGTTATTTATGCTGCGCTCACAAGCTCTAAGTGAATTTTACAAATGCCCAGAAAAAACACCAGTTAATTCCAACCTCTCACAAACCTCCCACCGTCCCACTGCCGAGTTCCATTACTCACGTTCTGTTTGACAACAACACCCGGCAGTCCAGCACCTTAGTTCACTCGTTTGTTCTTTTGTGTTTTTCAACACTTGACTGAACTATTTTTTTTATCCGTTAAGAACTGGACTATATGCCTTCTGCTCCTTGAGGCAAATTAATTTTTTTGTTTATGTGAGCTCTATTATTTGTATGATCTCCTTCGGCTTTGCGTATAGTATTTGAAGTTTGCTGTCTGGATAATACTTGCACAAGTCTTTCTTGTCGTCATAGTTAGCTGCTTTGATAGACTGGAAGCCACAGTTGCTGACTGCAGTCCATGCTTGTAGGTGATGGTCATAATTCGCTCTGACAGCTTATGTTCTGGGACTATATTTTCATTATTGCAATAACATTATTTATTATTATTACATTATATATCTTCGATTCGTCCTCCAAACTGTGCAGTACGTTCATCGCCCGAACACATGACCGACTAAATATCGATCTATATAAAACTTGAATATTAGTCCAGCTCTCTCAATATCATTTATTCTTAGATTGCAATTTGTCACGCTCCATGTTAAGTTTTTCGTCACGCTCCATATTAAGTTTTTTGTTACGTTCCATGTTGAATTTTTTCGGAAACAGTACGTTTCCTAGATTTCCGTGACCGTAAATAACGCAGCTCATTGTTTTAATTCATGTAAATCCACTCGCTACAATACTCTGCAAACAATCCGAGTGTTTTTCACTTTCTTTAATTTACAATAGGCATATTACAATAATTTCTCATTACTATTTTACGCTCTGGCACATCTGAAAGATATCGAACAATGCCATGGTTGTCTCTTATAAACGTTCGCATGGCCTGTGCTCCATATCACCATTAGCGGCTACAGCAAAAAAAATTCGCGTTCGATATCCTCGAGATAGCCTAATGTGTGGATAGCCTAACAAACATGTCCGATGCTAAAGTACTCAAAATAATGAATGCATGTGAAATATCTACGATTCTCTGGTGTGTAATAGAACGTGTACTCCTGCCTCGTATTTGTGTTGTGTTCTCTCCTATGCGGTGCACGCATGCCTAATGTGTGGATAGCCTAACTAACACGTACGATGCTTAAGTACTCAAAATAATGAATGCATGTGAAATATCTACGATTCTCTGGTGTGGTATAGTACTTGTAACCCTGCCTCGTATTTGTGTAGTGTTCCCTCCTATGCGGTACACGCCATGAGTTGCAACATACTGCACCGTATCCCAATACTGCAATGCACCATATTCACAAGTGTCGCCCCATGGCCTTGTGCGCGACAGTTTTTTCGTGGTTGTGGACTTAGCTTTCTCGTGCTGCTTCGCGTAGCCGTTCGGGGTTTTTCTTGCTTTTTTCGAACAAAACTAAGAAGACATTTTCGTTTTGTCTCTTTTGTAAATCTCTTTATTAGTCTTTCCTTGTTAGTACTTTCCAATTGTTTCGGCCCAGACACTGATCTATGGATTTTTGGCCTTCAGTATTTTCTGCCGCCTTTTGCATGTAAGTTATTCTAGACTGAATAATGTTTGAGTTTGTTAAATTCGTATGTTGCCTTTGCATGGTTAAAATACATTCCTCAGACTCTGGCGTAACTATAGGCAATAACGAATGATCAACAGCTGTTTATCTCAATCATCATTTACTACTTCGTGGGAATTTATTCTATAAGCGCTGATGTAGTGAAGTTGTAATTTGTCGTAAAGAGTTTGGTTCCTTATGAATGAACAAATATGATATTGCTATCGTTTTTTCGTTCGTTTAAACATCAAAAATTCACTTTCTGAATAATCAAATTACAGTTGCGTTACAATTTATTGCATTGAGATGTTAAATTTTTTTAATTCCAAGCGTGTGCTATACCTGCGATTCGTCATGACCCTAAAAAAGCATCCAAGCTACTAGACTGCAATTAGAAATTATTCAATTGCTGTCAAGTTAAATTTTATTTCAAGAGTATATAAGGGGAAGTTAATATCACTAATGTGAAGTCTTAGTAATTTTAACCCTAATGGGAAAAGTTTTCCAGACGGGTCTTAAGCAGATTAGTTGACGCAAAATAGCCCGACAGTATTTATGTTTATTTAGGCATTTCGATCGTCCAGACTAGTCGTCTGACCAACTATGCATGACTTGTACCGTTGCATTCGTTCTGTGAAATCACCATACTTGAACCATGACTTCATGTTTCGTCGACGAGAAAATGCGCTCTCTGTCACTCACTGCAGTGAGTACTGAGTTATATTTTTTGTAACTCTCTTTATTAGTCTTTCCCTGTTACTTTCCAATTTTTGGCCTTCAGTATTTTCACTCTCTATGGATTTTTGGCCTTCAGTATTTCTGCCGCCTTTTACATGTAAGTCATTCTAAACTGAATAATGTTTAAGTTTAGTTAAACTCGTATATTGCCGTTGCATGGGTAAAATACATTCTTCATGTAGACTCTGGCGCGTAACCAGGCAGTAAGTTGTAATTTGTCGTAAAGAGTTTGGTTCCTTATGAATGAACAAATATAATATTGCTATCGTTTTTTTCGTTTAAACATCAAAAATTCACTTTTGAATAATTAAATTACAGTTGCGTTACAAATCATTGCATTGAGATGCTAATTTTTTTTAATTCCGATCGTGTGCTAACCTGCGATTCTTCATGACCCTAAAAAAGCCTCCATGCTACTATAGTGTAATTATAAATTATTCAATGGCTGTTACGTTTTTTTTCAAGTATTTCAAGAGTAAATAAGAGGCAATTAATATCCCTAATACAAAGTCCTAGTAATTTTAACACTAATGGGAAAAGTTTTCCAGTCGGGCCTTAGGCAGATTAGTTAACGCAAAAAGCCCGACAGTAATTATGCTTATTTCGGCATCTCGATCGTCCAGACTAGTCGTCTGCCCAATATGCATGACTTGTACCGTTGCATTCGTTCTGTGAAATCACCATACTTGAGGAGCACCTGCAAGTCTTTTGCTCAAAGTAACTAGGTACATGAACTTGTGTGCGTGTCTCATTTATATCAACTATGGTTATTTATAAAAAGTGACTAACGAGAACGCCGCTCGTTAAAAGTAATCGTTGTATTCCCTGCCGAATGGCCGTTAGATTTGTCATGAAGGTTTTCACTCTTCAATGTGTAATAAATTAGTTTTTCATCACCTTTATTACACCTAAGTTTATATTAACTCTGATTTGTTGTTACAGGTGTAGGAGCTCCCGTCGGTAACGGGTTGACGCCAGACATGCCGCAGGTAAGATTAAGTTGTCAATAGATGTTGTACACTCATTCACTATTTTTATGGATCTATGCATATTCTACCTTAAAATTAAGTTTCATACGAAATTTTACCATAGCTCAATTTTTTCTTATGTTGTATTATTTGCTCTTATGTTCCACTACGTCTTCAGAAGCGTGTGGTGCGGGCAATGTACGATTACAAAGCTGCCCAGAAAGGCGACCTCTCGCTAGTACAAGACGAGGAATACGAAGTCTTGGAAGAGACCGAAGAACACTGGTGGAAGCTCAGGGACAAACACGGGTAAGTGGCACAACAGGATCTTGTAGTACAGTCGTGAGTCTTTATTTTGTACGCGTATTGGGATTTCTGTCTGCGCTCTTCATGTACTTCGTAGAAATATGTGTTGTCAACGTCAAAAGTGATTTCGAGGCTCAATTAAGAAACTAAAGTCATTTCTTGAATTATTGTGAACCAACTGCATGAAGAGTCTCTCTTGCATGTGATGTATTTATTTATGGCGCACAGACTCGTTCCTTCATCGTCTCTATAATTGAAATTTACGAACATTCCTCCATAGATATCATGAGGTGAGCACACCACAGGGTCAAAGGTCTCTGAACCTTGAGGGTCAAAGAGTCTATTCGCTCATGCTTACAATCCCTTTGGCGCGTGAATATAAATAAGGTCATGAACTGGGACTTGCGAGAGTTTTATTTCCCTATCATGCAGTTATGAATTATGGTCGAATCCTTTTTTTCAGCCTAACATTTTCAAAGTCTGTCTTTTTTTATCTCTCCATTTTAAATGAAAACTTGGTCGCGATCGGCCTGACAATAAATCCTAAGCTGACTCTAATTTTGCGCGAATGCTTACACACACCTTTTTTATATTGAAAAGATTCATTTCTGATTAAGAATTATGTTCCATCCTTAGCGCTCATATAATTCAAATAATTTTCGTAATTTTGTTGATCTTGTGTAGAGTTTAGTATTTTATTGATTACCCATGCGTCCAAGATTTTGTTCTACCGCAAGTCCTATCTGGTCTCAGGCCCTTCAGGGTTTTCCACCATTTTGACTTCTGCCTTCATTTCCAATTTGTAATACTACTCTTCGTTAGTTCATTAATCTAGTGCTGCTTGTGCTTTGTAATTTTGAACTCCAGTAAAAGAAGTTCGCGTATCGATAAAAGCTTTTCGATAATAAAGAACGAACATTGTTTTGTTATAATTTCTCTTCAACGATCTTTGTTTTTGTTTCAGGAACGAAGGCTACTCACCGAGTAACTATGTCAAGGAAGCCACCGATATTGGCCTTCATCAATACGAGTGAGTGCACGTTTCACGTATATTGCGAGTGCATTGTATACATTTTGCTCGAAAAATGGTGGAATTTATATATTTTAAGATGGTTTTCGTTGTCACTCCAAAACGTTTCCGAATATCGGCGAATTGATCGAATGTTCTGTAAAAAAAATCAAAATGTCGAATCCTGTAGAGTTCCGCACTTGACTGAGCCGTTGTAGTTGAAATGGTTAACTTCCATAAGAAACATTCACACCGTGAAATTTTACTTGAAAAGAGGAAGTTCCAATTATTATTGATAAATCTTAGTTCTCCAGCATACCCTTCTCTAAGTTTATTGATTGCCTACATCATTTCATGTCGAGAACGCATGCAGAAACTTTATATCTACCCTTGTTCAATCTTCTTACCTATTTGTGCAATAACTCGGGTTGATTTGGTTTCGATGAATTCAACGGTCACCGAGGTTATAAGTTAAGCTTTTTGTCAAGATTTTCCAGTGTTTTGCATTGATTGAGTTTTGTTTTATTGCAGTTGGTACTTGGGCGACGCAACAAGACAGCGTGCAGAGACCATCTTAATGAGGGAGGAGAGAGAAGGATGCTTTGTGGTGCGCAACTCATCATCCACGACCGGCATGTACACCATCTCCGTCTACTGCAGCATGTCAGTAATGCCGTATTGTGCTCATGATTTCTTATATTCTTTCGCTTATATTTTTTTTTGGATCAGTAATGCCGTATTGCGCTCATGATTTCTTCAGTGATGCGCTCATATTCTTTTTTGGAAAAGTCGTTCACTTTCTAATTTAAAGGAAAAATAGAACGACTTCTACTGTGATGAGATTTCTAGTGATGAAATAATAATTTTTTTCAGAAACATTATCTTCAGAATTGAGTATGTGTTCGTAAAAGTCTTTAAACCTATTATCGGTTTTCTTGAGTAATACAATCATGTTTTTTTGTCGTCAGTATTTGCTGGTTCACTTACAGTCATTGCTCAAAAATAAGATTGTCTTGTAAAATAATTCTATTTTGATGCAGATTAACTGAAAATAATTATCTGTGAAAGTTGCAAATCGCTGCTATTGACGACATGGCGTCCCCTGACAGGTCGCGACCTCAAGTGAAGCACTACCACATCCAGAAAGATAGCGACAACAAGTATTACTTATCACACAACATCAAGTGTAACTCCATATCTGAACTTATTTACAAGCATCAATACAATCCCGGGGGCTTGTGCACCAGACTTCGGAGCGCTCCTCTGGGCAATAAGCCGCCTGCCACCGCCGGCTTCAGCAGAGGTTATATCTTAACAAATCTGTTTTATTATATTTCTTTGATAATTTGCCAGCAGTCGATGTTTTTTTCTCCTGATACTTATAGCATTTTTCAAAGAAAACTACCATTCATATGATTTGCATATTTTGTTGGCAAAGTTTTTTCGTTTAATGGCCTTAAATCATTACCAGAGCTTTAACAGGTACTCCTATTTCATATTTTTTTCGAACAAATTTGTTCCCACCAAACGAATTTTTTATAACAACCACGTTGTTGTACCAACATGCAGACAAGTGGGACATTCCCCTGTTATTTTTTATAACAACCACGTTGTTGTACCAACATGCAGACAAGTGGGACATTCCCCTGTTATTTTTATAACAACCACGTTGTTGTACCAACATGCAGACAAGTGGGACATTCCCCTGTTATTTTTATAACAACCACGTTGTTGTACCAACATGCAGACAAGTGGGACATTCCCCTGTTATTTTTATAACAACCACGTTGTTGTACCAACATACAGACAAGTGGGACATTCCCCTGTTATTTTTTATAACAATCACGTTGTTGTACCGACATGCAGACAAATTTGACATTCTCTGTTATTTTTATAACAACCATGTTGTTGTACCAACATGCAGACAAGTGGGACATTCCCCTGAACGAGATCACGCTGCTGGAGGAGATCGGCAGCGGGCAGTTCGGTGTGGTGCGACGTGGCAAGTACCGCAACCTCGACGTGGCCGTGAAGATGATGAAGGAAGGCACCATGAGCGAGGACGAGTTTATTGAAGAGGCTAAAGTTATGACGTGAGTCGACATTCCGACGGTGTTTTCGTTTTAAATTGACTATCCGATGTACTTGGTTCGAAATATTCTTTTCCAGAAAGAAATGAAGTCTGATGTCTGTTGATTAAATTAGAACTAGTTAGATTTCAGAGTGACAGATGTAGTCAAACAAATTTGTTAGTAACCATTTATACATAAATTCTTAATTAACACTGAAAGTCAAGTTGTGCAGTTATGAGTTAAAATTGAGGTCAATGTTTAGTTATCCTGAACAGGTTTGACTACGGTACCTTACCTACGTGCTTTTTGTGTGTTAAATTACGATAACATTTGTTGTGATGTGTGTAGTTGTGTACTGTATCCTGTATTGTGTGTGTACCGTATGCTGTATTCTGTGTGTTGTATTGTGTGTGTACCGTATGCTGTATTGTGTGTGTACCGTAAGCTGTATTGTGTGTGTACCGTATGCTGTATTGTATTGCAGCAAGTTGCAGCACCCTAACCTAGTTCAGCTGTATGGAGTGTGCAAACGTCAGCGCCCAGTTTACATCATCACCGAGTTCCTGGAGTATGGCTCTCTGCTCCACTATCTCCGGCAGAAGGAAAAAACGCTCAGTTCTAAGACAGACACGCTAATCGACATGTGTCTCCAGGTGAGAGCCCTACTCTGTTTTGCCTTTTTTTGGAAAAATCGATTGAAAATTTTGCTGGATACCCAAGCTTAAGACAAGTTACAGCATTGATCTATCTTCCGAATTTATTCATCATGGGAGTTTTTGAATTTTATTTGTTATAGTTTACGTTATAAAAATACCTAGAAGCGCTCAATTATGAATTTTTGCGGAATTAATACATTGTTGATTTGTTTCAGATTTGCGAAGGAATGGCTTACTTGGAAAAAGAGAAATTTATTCACCGCGATCTGGCGGCTCGAAATTGTTTGGTGGGCTCGAAAAATATCAAAGTGGGAGACTTCGGCCTGGCAAGATACGTCGTCGATGACGAATACACAGGCTCGGGAGGAGCCAAGTTCCCCATCAAGTGGGCAGCGCCTGAAGTGCTCAACTACATGAGATTCTCTTCCAAAAGCGACGTGTGGGCCTTCGGAGTTCTCATGTGGGAAGTGAGTCAGACCTTGCGGACTTTTTTTTGCATCAAATGGACGTGGAGAAGCTTTAGCAGGATTTAAAATGTTTATTATCGCTCTTTCGCCAGAAAATATATATATCAGGGAAACTATTGGCTGAACACTTAATTGATAATCTCGTCGGTTCCTCTTATTGATAATTGATTATATAAATCTTTCGACTGCGGAAAGCTCAGATAGGTATTGCTCCTATTAAACTTGTTGAGTATTCACTTAATTATTTAGTGAAATAATATTGTGTGTATTGGTCAGGTATTCACGTGCGGCAAGATGCCGTACGGACGCCGCAAGAACGCGGACGTCGTGGCGATGGTTCAGGAGGGACTCGTGCTCGACCAGCCTCGCTACTGCCCCCACAACGTCTATCAGGTGCGCACGCGTCTTCAAGTTCTCCTTTCATTAATACAATACATTATATAAATAATTAATTAATTATTCATAATTGAGTAATTATTAATTAATAATATTATTCGTCTTAATTAACCGCTTTATTGCTTCTGAATGCTTGTTTAAGTAAGTCCAGCTGACGTTGATACGTGTTGATATACGTGCCGGCCGTGTTATACGTATAATTATACGTATAATATATAATATACGTGCCAGCCGACGTGTTAATATACCTTCTTAGAGCTTTTATACTTGATTTGTTTAGAAGTTTCTAGTACCAATTGAAACAGATTCTGTGAAGAATTGATTGCTTCTGAGGACACTAACTAGAATGTAGGGAAATTATTATGTTTGTTCAAAGCGTATTGTCAGTCATTCCAATTTTCAGGTGATGCGCGAATGCTGGGAACAAAGTGCCGACCAGAGACCAAGCTTCCACGACCTCAAAACCGAAATTGGCCGCCTCAATACGGAGGATTGACCAGCTTCTTGCCACTTAAGCGATGCAATATGGCAGCTCTAGACAGCTACTCTACGTTGGAATACGTCATTAGTTTGCCAACTACATAGTGATGGGAAAATTGTCTCAGCGGGATTTGTCATGTTAAAGAATTTCTCATATTTTTCCTTAGTGAGAATTGTTGCTGCTAGTTTCTCACGTATTTTTTAGTTGTGAATTCAGAAGACGGTGTCCCGTTGAAGCTGACCTTTTCTTTGTATTATTGTGGTCATGCTTTCTTTATATTGCATCTTCATTTATTGATGATAACTTTAATATCAACTTCGCCTTTTGGCAGTGGTACCGTACGATAATAAATATAATACGTGCAGGAAAAAGGAAAAATTATATGGAGTCTTTAATCAGTTCTGATGTTTCAAGAAGGAAATTAATGATGCACTTATATTGCAGAGTCTTTTCTGAGATAAACTAATACTAAAGTGATGCATAACTTTCATCGAGAAAAATGTTTGAATCTTATTCATTGGAAAACACCACGCGTTGGCGCACTTATAAGAATATTGCTCGCAAGATTAACCTCCGTTTCATATCCTGAATTTATTTTTGCTTCAAAATGTTTTCTTTTAAGAAATGCATTGTCACAGTTATGAACATTTTCGAGTTTATGAACAATAATGAGCGGTATTCATGTAACGAGGGTCGAAGTATTCCTTGTCGAACAAGTAAGTGTTCGTGCTTTTCATCCGGATAGTATGTTAATCATTCCTGATATTTTGTGTCATCCAACGGTCTCTACACTGCCTGTGCGCATTTCTGTGATATTTTAAATCTTGCAATTCCTGAAATTGGTTGAAAAAATAAAATCAGAGCTCAAAATTAGTTATTTGTTTTTGAGCTCATTTAAGTGTAGACTATATGCATCCGCAGTTATTCATTTCCTCAGATTCATTCCAGCGAAGGATTTTTTTTAATTTAGTAGCAGGAACAGTCATTTAGAGCACCTATATTTTTCAGTGAATCAAAATCAATGTTTTTTTATTAAAAATAACATTCATTTCTGGTCTAAATCGTGATACAATAATGAAGCTGTTAGGCAACAAAGAATTAATGCAACCTACCATAAAATACCTCTGATTTAACTTTCATATTAAGCACCGCCTCATTATAATTTTACGCTGGATTTATCAAGCAAAGTATTACGTTCTTGTTGCTCTCTGTTAAATCTAATCTCCATTGTGTTACAAACTGCTTTGGCTAAGCGTTGACTGAGCTCTGTGTTGACGTGCGCATATTTTTATGAAATGTTCATTACAATGTATGTCGAAATATAACGGAGAAAACGAATGCTTCCTCAAGCATTCAATCATAAATTATATTTTTACATAGAAAAAATGCGGTCCATTCCATTGATCAAAAGTAAGCAGAAATATCATTTGCCAACAAATTGGAGGCTGAGAGCCGATCAAATGATACAGCTCGAATCTTGGTAATTTAAGAATATTATAGAACGAAGAAAACGTCTGGAGGTTCATCAGAAATGAATTGTGGAACAGAGCACTTCGTTGGAAGTTTGATCTTAATATTATTTGCTGAAAACGCTTTATTACGTTCCATAGATTTACGAGTCTGGCTCATTCCTGCGCCACTTCCCAGTGTGAGTCGTTAGTTATCAATGATCGTGATGCCTCGTGGAGCACAAACTGCTTATACAAATGCGTAACAAGTCTCAAATTATGAAGCACGTAGTATTTAAACCGAAATGCTCACCTCATGCATGGTTGTCTTGTTGAATCAAACCCTGTACGAGTTAATTAACTCGACCAACTCTGTGATATTGGGCGTAATTTATGAGCTCATTTAAACATGACTTCCAAGTTTGTTTTGTTCCTGGATAAAGTATCGTATGTAGATCAATGGGTTCGGCTCAGCGCTTCTCATTGCGCTCATAGTAATATAAGTGAAAGATGCCTCAAATTTGACTAAATTATGTAGGTTGGACCAAGCTGAAGTGTAGGTGATTGTGAGCATGGACGGCCCAAGAGAACGCGGCCGTTGTATTTTTGTACAACGCTCGATTTTCATTCCACTTGGCGGGATAATAATATCATTCCAAGTATTTAAGAAAGGTTTGCACCGTTGCTGCAACTCACCACACGTTGATAATTGTGAAAAGAGTTTACTCTCACTTTATTATAATTATTATTATTATTAATATTTTACCTGTAAGATTTGTTGCAATATAAGAGATCGCGCAGGAGTTTTTGATATTGCGGATAGTTTGTATAAATGTAAATAAGATTGTTGTACATTTAGGAGTTTGGATATTATTTGTGTCATAAAATAAATTTCATTAAATGCATATTTCGCTTTATTGAACATCTCGACTGATGCATCCTTCGTATAACTAACATTTTAGAGTAACAACCATCTCCGAACGTAAATAGAGTCAGAACGAAGGAAAAGTACTACTTGAGTTCTTTAGAGCAATTCCTCGATATACAACTGAAAGGTTCATAATCGAAAAAACGAAAATCGTGATAATATGCAGTATACATGAGATCAATTTCGACACTAGTTAGCTGATGCATGTACTGCTCATAATCGTCACACTGACTCCCACTAGGATTGACTGTAGGCACCTGTTGCTGCTCCACGACCGACGGCGTCTCGGCTGGCCTCCTGCTGGAGGACATCAGCACACGCTGCATCCATGACAGGTCCTCGCTCAGCGTCTCCAGCTGCGATAATTGTGCAGTGAAAAGCATACATGAGAGCAGTGACTTGCATATCTTTTGTCCGTATCATTGTTGCAGTTTAGAAGTTTCGGGAATCATATATTGTACGCATATTAACAAGAACATTCTGTCATCTAATACTAATATATATGTAATGAGCGCTTATATTTTCTGATGGAATGTCTATTCCCAAAAGGCCTCATGATTATTTATGTAACAAATATTTTTTTACAAATTGACTTCATGTGAATCACAAACCTTGAGTATGAAATCGAAGTGCCAGGCGCACGGATTGCACCTTGTCAGCTGTGGCCGGTAGTGCGTGTCCAGCTCGCTGAGGCAGGCGTAGTCACCACTACACGACAAGATGCGCACTGCAATAAACACCACAAACTCGCGGAACGAAGGCACTCCTGGTAGCAAAACTTTTGTCTCCGCCCCATCACTTTTTTCCATAAAGTCTTTCTTCCCCGGAGTACTCAGGATATTAAGTCTAGTTGATTTTAGAGAGCTGTTCTCGTGCTGCGATCCATCTGGAGTTGCGTATTGATGATGAGGTAAATATTTTCTAATGATATCGAGTGTATCAATGTGTCGGTACGCAAGCATTGCTTCATGCTGAAGCATCAGAATTTTTTCTTTACTTTCGATGACTTTGTTGCAGTAGGAGGAAACCAACCTATGAAAAATTACGATGTGTCGATTAACGGTGATTCGTTCAACATGAACATGAAAAAATTTGTCGACAAAGCATTAGATTTAATCATAATAACTTTTACTGATATCTAAAATAAATACAAAACCTTATCAACTGAATAATTATAGAGAACAAGAAGCAAAATTTTGCAAAGATATTACTTTTCAAATGCGCTTAAGGCAAACAGCAATGACTGCCACCTGCGGAAGGGATGTCGAACAGATGTGAAAGAGAACGAAGTGTCAGTGATCTCGCGTGCCCGTTTGATGGACGACGCAGGGAAGCGGGCGCGAGCGATTTCGTGCACATTGCTGTGGTGACTCAGGCTCGTCTCCACGCGGTTCATCTCAAGTATGAAGGTCAGGATTGTGCTCGATCCTGCCTGATGAAGTTTTGTGGATGTGATATCAAATATATTTGTTGAAAGTTAGGAAATTAGAAACGCTATTCAAACAGTGGAGCACGTATTACAAAAATTTCCGTGTACAAATGGGATTAGAAATGGGAGATGCAAATTTAATTCGAACTTGTGAAGATTCAACAACGATTCTATTCTACTAACGACCAAACTAATCTGAAACATGAAGCAACACAAAAGGCCACGGCTATAAACTAAAAAACTGCGGTGTAACTCATTCATGCGACAACACTTTTGCTTCGAGTCACCGACATGTGGAACAAACTTCCAGCTTGCATTGTAGCGTTCCGAATATAAATGCACCCATGAACAACTAGATGCAGCTGTGAAAGAGTATATATTCCGACTAGAAGTTCCTTATACCTCACAAAATGGTGTGTATCCAGCAGCTACTTAGCTTCAACGTTAATTTTGGAAAGATCTGGTCAAAAAGCCAGGCCCCACATTTCCAAGAGGCCAGTCAAGAGCATTATAATATGAGAATCGGCGACAGGCCAACTCGGCCTATTCTTCAACACCGATATTTTCATGTTATGTTATGAGAGGACGAACGCGACATATGAAGTAGTTTTTTGAAAGATCGATTTCTCATGAGCTGATCAGCCGATTACGGAAAATGGGTTAAAAATAATTCCCAGCTGTGTCATTGTTCCATTTGAGAACAGCACTACCCTCTGTGTATTTATACAACACCTTCTTTAGCAATTATTCAGCGCCCCTACTAGCAGGCTCATCAGTTATACTGACCTAAATTCAGATATTAAACATCACGCCCCTCATCAGTTATACAGCACGCTATAAAAGATTTATACAGTGCGAATCACACCAGTTATGGAGCACACAACCACCTTAGCAGTTTTGCAGTAGGCCAAGCGGTTGCCCGCGTCGTACACTACGTCTCTAAAGTCCGGCGGGCCCGTCACCTCCACCACCGGCATCCTGCATGCGTCCAAGTACGTGCGATACCGCCGCACCATCACCATCTGCAAGAACGTCTGTTGGTTCCGCTACTTCTAGACGAGAATTTTAATGACGGTCATCCATCAGTGAAGATCAATGTTAGTCGTTAGTTAACCCTAAAGTAACGGCCTAAGGTGAAAATGCCAGGCATTTTAAATAAGTTTCAGAAAAACGAGATACCCTTCATATGAGGTCTCTTCTTGCGTCTCGTATCAATCGAAATCAACCAGTTTAAGCGTTGTTGACAAAAACATTTCCCCAGACAAACATAAATACATTCTAATATAACCAACCAGTTTAGAGTTGTTGCCGATTAGATTATTAGCTTCTGAAATGTTTGCGAGGATGAGCTTGAAGCAGTTCCGATAGCTTTGCGGAGATGTGACCGGTCCCTGCAGAGAACCTATTTTACAGCAACTGCTAAGATTATAGACGCCTTGCAGCAAATCATCGTCAGCTTTGATATATTGTTTCAATCCCGAACGCGAATCGGAGACCTTATCACTCCAGGAATTCGTTGTAAGTTCATTCCTCAAATTAATAGACAATTCTTCTTGTTCAAGTTTCATGTTAGCCTTTGAAGGAAAATATTTACTTATGCCATCCCCACGTATTGGAACCAAATTTCCTTTGACTGGTCCATTTTCAGAATGTAACGTCCAATCCTCCAAAAAACTGAATTTAGCAGTCGCTATTGGCTCGGAACTAAAAATACCGTACATTATATATATGATAGCTATAAAGGTAAACACAGCGAAGACCACCAATTTATTCTTCCGGATATAATCCATTCTCTAAATGGAACCCATTTATCTTGAGCGAGCTTTCATCGTTGGCCATTCCTTCTTGGTTTAAATATTTTAAAACCATTAGAGTTGCATCCATACGATGCTTGCGCAAATTAGTTCCATAACCATCGGATGCGCACTTTATTGGACGATAGCTAGTATTATAAAGTCACTGAAATTGAATAATACTACGCAGTACGCATTTGCAAAATTTGAGCTCGTTTAAAAGTTCAAATCTGCTCTGCTTGGATTTTTACATGCACAAATTCCCGAAGAGGAATAGCACAACACTTCTCTTCTCGGTGAAAGCTGAACAACACTGTCGAGCGAAAGCTTGTGAGCAGCAGTATCCACTTTCGCTTTCACTATTATTTGATAGATAGGGCAGAGCCCCTAAACGTTCAAGCGGCTTCATAAAAAGCTCAAGTCAATCGATCGACTCGAGCGTGATTGACTCTGTAAGAACCCATTTGACGCTTGGCGCAAGGTTTGATGGTGATTGATATGAAGTTTGACTGATAAAATTGATTGATAGAAAGATGCGCATATTTTTAGGCAGAAGGAGGCCAAATAAGTATTCGAAACCGAAGCTAACCTCCAGAATTAGTACAGCAGCTCAATAAAAAAAAAAACTAGTTAACGAACAGTGTGCACTATTCCCATTTCTGATGAGAGCTTTTTATCAAAAGATTGAAGGCCGGATTGCGGATGATTGAAACGCGCGTTAATCGTTTGACTCAAACCGCTTGATGGTTTAGAGGCTCTGCTGGGAACAATCCAGGGTGATATGAAAAAAGAGACCATGCTTTCCCAAAATAATTGTTATCGTAAACCACATTCAGGTTTTGTTCAGTCACCGCATGATGTGCAGCATCTTGATCCAAAATTCCTGAACTAAGTGAACCGTGGTTCAATCATGATTAGAATGATCTGCCGCCTTCTATTGCATGTGGAGCTTATGAGCTAAATAATATGCGTTTAAAAATTACTTTTTTAAAGACAAACTTCTGAAGAATACGGTGTCTTGGATGTTACACATGTACAATGAATTTCTAATTTTATTTTCAAATATTAAATAAAAATTAGTTTTCAAAATTTTTTTAATTAAGATATCAAAATTTTGAAAATTTTCAAAATTATTTATTCAGTCAATTGATTCATGCATTGTCTCTGACTTTATGCGATTGGGCAAAATTTTAGATCGATTGGACAGGTCAAATTGTGTCATATATGGATTATAAGATTTGTAGCAGACAGACAGACATAAACAAAATTAAGCGGAGCTCTACTATGCGACATACATACGATATTCACCAGATGCAAACGATCAGTCACATGCAGGATTAATCATACAGGTAATTTTTTCGTCACAAGAAACCGATCACTTATTCGCCACATGCGACCGATCGTTTGTTCGCCACATGCAACAGATCACTTATTCGCCGCATGCACACGATTAATTGTTCGCCATAAGCATACGATTAATTATTCGCCACGTGCGAGTGATCACATATTCGCCACCTGTGAGCGATCACATATTCGCCAAGTGCACACGATTAATTATTCGCCATACACATACGATCAATTATTCGCCATGTGCGAATGATCACTTATTCGCCACGTGCAAATGATTAGTTATTCACCATTACGATCGACTATTCGCCTCCTGCAAACGATCAATTATTCGCCGCAATCGATTCAACTATATTCGTCAACTATTCGCCAATCAATCAACTATTCCCCACATACAAACGTACACGTATAACGATCATTTATCCGTCACTCAGGAACGACCGCAAAAATGCACCGGGAAAAACTGGTAACCCAGTCTGACTTTCTTACAAGTCTAACATTGATTACACGGGTCTGAAAAAAATCTGAAAATTGTTTTTATTTCTGAAAGGGTGACAGTTTTTTTCTCTCTACTACAAATCTTATAATCGATGTTTAACACACTTCTCATCTATTTAACACACTTCAAATCGATCTGAAATTTGGCACACTTGCAGAAAGTTGAAGACAATGCATGAATCAATGGACAGAATAAACGATTTTTAAAATTAAAAAAAACTTTCAATATTAAAAAAATAAAAATAATTTTGTCAGCTACAAATGTTGTTAGTATCGATATTTGACACACTAAAAGCATAAATCAAGAGAGATTATTGGCAAAATCATGCAAGCTTTTCAAACTTGATATGCGCAAGATACATTTCTGACTGGCTCGAAAATTACAGATCATTTTGTAGAATAATTTAAAGAAAGGAGAAATTAG